TCCCTCTGCCCCACAGCCCCTCGGGGCGGCGCCTGGCCCCGGCCAGCGGAGGCCGGGGCCCAGAGAGGTCGAGGTGCAGAGCCAGGGGTGCGTTTATGGGGCAGCTCCGAGCTGACCGCTCCCCTAGCTGGGAGGAGCGCTGGCTGGGGCCAGCGAGCTGTGAGGAGACCCCAGCCCACCCGTCCTCTTCCCCGCTAATGATGGACACTGTAAGGCACCGGCCGTCTTACATGGGGCCCGGCCCTTCTACAGGAGGGTCCAGGAGCTCCGCTCCCTCGGCCAGGCTGGTGGGGCGAGAACCTGTGTGGGCCCTTTGCTCCTGAGCGGAGCGTTTGGGTAAAAAACCAGGGCGGAGCTGGGGAAGCTGGCGCTGGCTTTGAGAGGGGCCTTGGGGAGCCGTGTCTGGATGGGGCATACGTGCCGGGGGGCCTCAGGAAACGCCCGGGGAAGATGTTGCAGGCGGCAGGGTCCATGCAGTACCAGAGTTATTCATAGATTTGCTGGGCGGGAGGTATAACACGGCTCACTCCCCCCGTCCCCTCCCCCGGTGGAGCCCAGCACCTGTGCCGGGTCTAACCAAATGTGTTACTTTGCAGGGCAGCAGAAACCACAAAGTGAAAACGCACCCTTGGTAAGTTCCCCGCCGTGCACAGGCGGCTGCGCGGCTGGGGCGCGAGGCGAGGCAGGAAAGGGCCGGGGCTTGCCGGGGCGTTAGGAGCAAGTGCCTTGTTCCTCGCAAGGGCTGTGGGGAGAATGGCTGGTCGATCCCCAGGCTGATTTCTCCTGGGGCAGTGCAACCCGCCAGCAACCAACGAGAAAGCAGAGGGAGAAACAAGCGATTGCGAGACTCGTGGAGTCGGCCAAATACCTTGGCTTGCAGCCCGTGTAGCATTGGTATCTGATTGACGGTACATTTCCATCGCTCTCCCCAAATACCCCCCCAGCACACCCAGCAGAGACACAAACACGCCAGCCCCCTTGCACTGCACAGCGCCGCGTGCTGGAAACAGGCAGGGAGCGAATGCAGTTCTCCCAGCTGGAGTCAGGCCAGGACGATTGGCTCAACAGCCCTCCTCTTGCTAAAAGGGTGCGTGGACCTCCATCAGGCTCGAAAAGTGAAGCCCATGATGTGTCTGACGGCCCCTACCTGGGCTAGCCCTGACTCAGGGGAGTGCTCCCTGCAAAATCACTAGCACCTCCAATTCCTTGCAGACGTCTCATCCGATGTTCCCTCTAACTTTTTCCACCCATGTGCAGAATAAATTTTGTTCCGTGTGTAACCACCACCAAGGTGGATTTGAACCTGGGACCTCACTATAGAAGCCTCTACCCTCTGAGCTAAAAGCCAGCTAGCTCCCAGCCCATGCTGTAGAGATCTCTTGATCTTAACTGCTGCAGTGGTCTAGGTGCCACTTGCAGTAGTCAGTAACCACACTAGGTGTGTGAGTTACACGTGCACCAAGGCAGGTGCCGACCTGCACGACTAATAGATACACACGCTGCCGGCTATGGGCAGGAGGGGCTAATCACCTGGCTTTCTCCTGGGTGGCCACCCACGCGCTTGGCTTACAGGGAACACCGGTCTCATCCAGTTACGAGACAGGTCCGACCCTGTGAGTTTGTGAGCGCTCATGGGGTTATAGTGCCAGGAGTTTTGATTGCAGCCTTGCTGATTTCCAAGCATTGGCTGCTCTCTTATAATGCCTTGTTGCGAGAGTCTACAGAAGCTCAGGCTTCTTCGTTGATCCAAGACAAGGTTAAGTGGTACCCATCCAGGGAAGAGCTTGAATATAGCAACAAAACAAACACACAAAAAACACTGTGATGAGATCCAGTGGCTGGAAGCCAAAGCTCGACCAGACCAGAAACAAGGTGCACGTTTTAAATTCAGAGTCCTTAACCCTTGGGCCCTCCTTAACCCCCTTAGCCCACAACATTTTGGCACCTGAGGCGGGGAGCTCAAATGATGCCCCCGTGTCCCCTCGCTTGGGCCAAAACTTTGAAAGGTCTCAATTCTGCCTCCTTCCTGTTCTACTCCTCTCATGGGACCACTCTGCTACCTACATATGCACCAGCAGCAGACACAATTTTCTACACTCTGGGTCCTAGTAGCACCCTTCCTCACTCCATAGTCTGGCACCTGAGGTGGCTGCCTCAGTTTGCCTCATGGTAAGGCCATCCCTGGGAGAGGAGGTGGGTTTGCCGTCCCATGGAGTCTTTAATAATTTTTTTATAAGGAACACCAAGGATTTTTTGTTGATCAAAAAAAAAAAAGTAGCCTGCCCCTTTAAGGATGGCTGTTTTGAACTCTGTTGTTCTCCGCAGCACACCAGAACACGGCTTAAGAAACACTGCTTTAAATCAAGGCAGGGGGGGGTTTTAAAAATGTATACTTGATCCCCAGCGAACAGCGGCAGCTCTAGAGCTGGTGCTAAACAGGCGCTCTGAAGGGAAGCGCAGCACGGTCCCTTCTGGCCTTCCACGGGGTGAATCTGTGCGTGGGGGGGGGGGGTCCATAGAGCAGTAGTGTGTGGCTGGGATGCTGAGTAAAAATGGCCCCTCTTGTTGTGCAGAAGGACGACCAGCCCCCGGGGATAACGGTGTACACGGTGGATTACGGCGTGTTGGAGTTCCAGCAGGAGAAGCTAAAGGCCCTGGTGGAGAGCCCCACGTCTGACCACACGGAATACGCCACCATCGTGTTCGCGGAAGAGAAGCCTGTAACCCCAGAGAGGGGGAAGAGAACGAAAAGCCCCTCTACCCAAGCACAGCCCTGCTGACGGGCGGGGAGCCCCGCCAGGCCGCTTCTTCCTGGTGGTCACCACTCGACAGCTTTCTTGGAGGCGCTCACACTGGGAGGTGGCCCTCTTTGGACACGCTGGTCATGGATATGCACCAGCCCCGGCTCTCCTGCCTCCCCGTCTCGGGCGACCACATTCATGACGGACACTTTACGGCACCGGGCCGTCTTCCGTGGGGACCGTCCCTTCTCCGGGAGGTGGCAAGCCATTGGTTGCTGCTCAGGGAGGCGTTCACGCGGATTCGCCGGACCAACGGGCCCGCGGCGGGAGCCCGACGCTGCCCCATGTGGGGTCCTCGGCTTTGGTTTCTTGCGCTGCAGAGGTGGATTGCAGCGGCAGCATGATCCGTCCCTGGGGTGGAGGTGGGGAAGAAGTGGAGTCATTGGAGTCAGGTGGGCTCCAAAGAGAGGCCTTCCCCGGCCTCCTCCTTCAGGAGGCTGATACCAAGCCTGGGTCAGGGAGAGGGTAAATCGGTGGAAAAGGATGGGAGCTCCAGGGTGGATGCAGGGGCACCCCCAGGATGATACTACCATGGACAACCAGGGCCCACGTCTTGGATGCAAGTCCACATCATGGACTTGCCATTGCAGACACTGATCTCTCCATCCTTGGTCTCCCCAGGCCAACCGGAGCTCCAATGTGCCTCTTTGGACTGCCTGCTGGGTTTGAACTTACTAAGAAATCTTAACGTTGGGAGATAGCTGTAAATGCACGCACCTGGCGGCAGGGTGCAAGGACCCTAGGAAACAGGCTACAGCCCTGATGCGTGCTGCCCTCCGTAAGAGCTGCAGCACCCAGGTGGGGGGCAGGGGGTCTGCTCGGGGGGCAGCAGACAGGAGAAGGTTGCTCTTCCTGTCCTGTGCCAAGCGAGCTCTGCGGGAGAAGCTGCCTGGCGTGTAACCCCGCGTGTCGAAAGACGACTGGGAAACGGGCTGCAGTGGCTTGGTTTCCTGTTCCATAGTTTCACGTATTTGCACTTGAGATTTAAGAGCTCCAGGTGAGTGGAGCTGGATTGAAACCCAACGGGGTGGAAATCCAGATTCTAGGCGGCGCACGGACTGGGCGCACCTGGCTTCTTGACCCGCCCTGCTGGAATCCCGGGGACTATGGGAGCAGGACGTGTCACTCCCGGGGTTCACGGTCCCCGAGGGCCTGATCTTGTTGAGAGGGTGCTTGGCTCTCGGCGTCAGCACCCCCGGGGGCAGGCCCAGGAGTTTACACTGAAGTGATCAAAGGTCTCTGTGAATAAAAAGAAGCTTTCACTTGCCCTTCGGTTTGGTTCCCTGCTTCCTGACGTAGGTGATGAGGAAAATGCTGGAGATTGTTTGGAGTCTGGGGCTTCTGGACAGCATGCAGGGGTGGGGAATCTAAGGCCCGGGGGCAGATGTGGCCCCCGGCTTGCCTAGATCTTGCCCCCAAGGCTCCGGGCCCCCCAAAATCTGGCGCTCCAAAATCTACTAGCATGGGGCCTTCCAGGCTCTGACAGTGTGGGGAGTGTCTTTCTGCCTCTCAGTCGGGGGCCATGTCCATGAGGGCTTTTTTTTGTTTTGCTTCTCACTCGTGTGCGGCCCCCGACCTGAAAAAGTTCCTCTCAAAAAAGATCTACTGGCATTAGAAAAGGTTCAGAGAAGGGCAACTAAAATGATGAGGAGTTTGGATCGGGTCCTAGATGAGGAGAGATTAAAGAGAGTGCAACTTTTCAGCTTGGAAAAGAGGAGACTGAGGGGGGATAGGATAGAGGTCTATACAATCATGAGTGATTGGAGAAAGTCAATAAGGAAAAGTTATTTACTTGTTCCCATACTATAAGAACTAGGGGCCACCAAATGAAACTAATGGGCAGCAGGTTTAAAACAAATAAAAAGAAGTTCTTCTTCACCTAGTGCATAGTTAATCTGTGGAACTCCTTGCCTGAGGAGGCTGTGAAGGCTAGAACTATAACAGGGTTTAAAAGAGAACTAGATCAATTCATGGAGGTGAAGTCCGTACATGGCTATTAGCCAGTATGGGTAAGGAATGGTGTCTCTAGTCTGTTTGTCAGAGGGTGGAGATGGATGGCAGGAGAGAGATGGCTTGATCATTCCCTGTTCGATTCACTCCCTCTGGAACACCCGGCATTGGCCACTGTCAGCTAGATGGACCTTTGGTCTGACCCTGTATGGCCGCTCTTATATTCTTTCCCCTAGGGGCAGTGGAGTCTCGGGCTAAGGCTACTCTGCGCTACAGGAATGCAAAGAATAACAGGAGTTGGGTCTGGTTCCCACCAGGCTGTGGTTCTGGTGTGGGTCACGGGGCTGTTTTCTCCCAGGTTAGAGGAGGCTGTTCACGAACAGGTGATCATGAAGGAGGAAAGCGTCCAACTTTGGCTCCAATCCTGCTGCTGGATCCTGGGGGGCTGAATTTTGGACCCATTCACTTCAGTGGAGACTCTGGGGGTACTTCTGGAAGCTTTGAAAGGGTGGGGGTGGGGCGCATGCCTGCAGGGCAGCAGAGATCACAAAACACTGAGCAGAGCCATCAGAGCAGGCATTGTGGGATAGTGGCGGAAGCCAGTTTTCTCCACAAAACAAACAGCAGAGTCCACACTGGCTCTTTGTGGACAATAAAGGGAGGGGGAGAGACAAAAGTCTCTCGGAGGGCTGGAAGTTTTTTGTCGCCAAAACTGGGAGTTTTTCCCGACAAAAGTTGCATTGTAGTGGGTATGCTCTCGCTGTTATGTCACCAAAAGGCAGTGTTTGGCAACAAAATAGGCCCGTGTAGACAAGGCTTAAGGAACTCAGCATTAGCTCTGCCTTCGGAAATGATCACTAGTCACCCAGAACTCACACATACTGAGTGATACTGCACAGGTTTCTTTCTCTTACCCAGCCAAAAATTGTTGAGCAAAAAAAATTGCTCCAGGGAGAAATGTGGTCGCTGCCCCTTTAATTGTCATGTGTCCCGAGAGCACTTCCGTGTGGCACAAGGCTTCTGAGGGCCGGATGGGGGCTGTGTCGGGGGAAAGCGTGCTCCCCAAAAAAGGTGACTGGTGCGTACTGTCACAAAGAAAGCGCTGGCTTTTCCTAATGTCCAACCTAAACCTCCCCCACTGCAACTTGAGACCACTGCTCCGCGTTCTGCCATCTGCCACCACTGAGAAAAAACTCTCGCCATCCTCTCTGGAACCTCCCTTCAGGAAGTTGCAGGCTGCTCTCAAATCCCCCCTCACTCTTCTCTTCTGCAGCCTAAACAAGCCCAAATCCCTCAGCCTCTCCCCGTAAGCCATGTGCTCCAGCCCCCAAAGCATTTGTGTTCCTCCCTGATCATTTTATATGAAATCTGTTCTCAGATTCCCCCTCTGTCTTCTTTTCTCAACCCTAAACATGCCTAGGACTGGACACAGGACGCCAGCTGGGACCTCACTGGTGCTGAGGAGAGCAGGACAATCCCCTCCCGTGTCTTACATACGACACGCCCCCGAATGACTTTTCACTGCAGCATCATACTGGTGACTCGCGTGGTCCACTATCACCCCCGCTCCTTGTCACCAGTGCTGCTGCCTGGCCATTTACTCCCCATTTTCTAGCGATGCATTTGATATTTCTTTCCTGAGGGAGGGTCCTTTGCACTTGTCTGTGCTGAATTCAGACTGATTCTCCCATTTGCCCAGGTGATTGTGAATTCTAAGCCTGCCCCGTCCCCCAGAATGCGGTCTGGGAAGAGGGCTGAGGATACTGCTCTTCTGCTCCCGCCGGAGTGTGTGCCAAGGGAGGTATTCACATGTCACAAAGGGCGTCTTGCACAAGCTATACTTTGCAGCCTCAGACCCAAAGCCTGTAGGGCAAGCGGGCCGGGGACAAGTGCCCCCACAGAAAGAGTGCTGATAAATATCAGCCCTTTGCTTTTAATAGCCAGCCTGGGCTTTATTTGCTGAGCGCTTCAGAAAAGCCCCAGAAGCTGTGGAGGCCGCGGGGGTGAAGTGCTACCTCAGTCAGCAGTTTTGTTTCTTGCTTTCCCGTAAGACTGACACTTTCTCGATGCAGCCTCGGGACTGGCTCACTTTTTCCACTCTGCCTCCGTAGCAGAGCGGGGAATTGGAGCGGCGAGGTGCCACCGGCCGCGCTGTGGAGGGCTGGCTGCTGCGGTTTGATGAGCACACCCGAGGGTTCGTGGATGGACCCTGCCCAGCGCTTGTTTATGCCTCACTGTGCCTTCTGCCTGCCAAAGAGACCGAATTGGGGGCTGTAGCATGAGCCTCATAACCACGTCGGCTAAAAGGCAAACTCCATCAGCAGTAGCAGTAGTAGGCTCTTCTCCTTGCAGACAGCGCTAGCATGGGACAGCACGCAGACTCTGGGCCAGGGGGCTTTCAGGGGGTTCCTCCGCCAATCTGCTTGCCCAGGGCAGGGTAGCGCAGGACAGCCAAGGGGCTGTGCTCCCGGCTGTCGTTGGGAGCGGTGTTCCCAGAACCGGCTTTTCTGGAAGTCTGGCTGTGGGTTCCTGCCTTCTGGCTCTGGAGACATGATGCACAGGGAGGGGTGTAGCCAGACCGCCCTCCCCCCCTCCAGTGCAGCACGCGTCTGCCCTGCCGTACCAGCGGTATCACCCCCAGCGGGTGTGGGGTGGTTGGCCTCCCTGCTCCGGAGCCGTTGAGCTGGGGAAGGGTCTTTCCCTCCATTTTCTCCCCCTCGCACCCGCAGGAGGCTGGCCACGATTTTGCTCCTCTGCTGGGCCCCCCGTTTGGGCAGCAGCACTGGGAATGCAGGGCTGCAATTCTCCAGCATCAGAGCTTTGGCAGCAAGGTGCCAGCAACCGGTGCATGTCCCGGCCGTGTCTCTGAGGCGTCCCGGGCCTGGCGTGGAGAGGAGGGGGCCGCCCATGGCGTGGTGAAGCGATGCACCGAGGGGGGAGAACCCAGGAGGGTCCGACCGGGTGTGAGGCGGGCACAAAGAACTTTCCCCGCTTGTACCCCCAACACGGGAGCTAGGCAGCCCTGAGCTCAGGGAACGGTCCTCAGCGGGGGAAGGAACCGGGTCTGTCCACGCCCAGCACAACATGGCCGCCGATCCCAACTGGACCCCCGAAGCGCTGCGCTCAGAGACATATGAAACCATTAAGGAAGGGGCAGGGAAGAGGCAAGGCCGCGGCCCAGCTCATCTGTCCCAGCCAGCCGGGGTACAGCGGGGAGCAGGCGGGGTCCCCCTCAAGGTGCACCGGTGGGCGAGCTCATGGCATGTCCGGGAGCTCCCAGGGCAATCTCTCCCCACGCGCCTCTCGGCTGCTGTGGCTTCGCACCCGACGCAGGCTGCGGTCCCGGGTTTGATCGTGGCTCAGGCCGAGGGCGTGCGTGTGAGGGCATAATCTCCCCTGGCAGGGATTCGTCTGGGTGGGTGGGATCGATTCCCCCTCCACCCACTCAGGCAGCAGCTGGATAACCCACACCAGCTGCCCCAGGGTTAGACCTGGCTCCCGCACTAGGAAAGCAGGAAAAGGGACCCTCTGAAGGCACTCGAGTACTACGTACAGATGTGGCTGCCTCATCTGAAAAAAGGTGGGTTTCTTGCTTGCAACAGAGAGAAGAGAGGGTGGGCTGTGTGGTTTTAGTGGGAATAGGTTTGGCTAGAATTTGTAGCTAGGTTTGCCTCGCTCTAGAGCAGGGCTACTCAACACGTGGCCCACGGCCCATGGTGCGGTTTGGGTTTATGTGGGGCTCAACATGTGGCCCATGGGTGGGATCCTTTGAACGTGGCCTCCACTGGGAACACGCTCCATAATGGCAAGGCGTCTCCCGGGCAGGTTGAGCCCTGAGGGTATGTCTACACTACAGCACTAATTCGAACTAACTTAATTTGAACTACTTAATTCGAACTAGGAGTAGGTCCTCGTACAGTGAGGTTTACCTAGTTCGAATTAAGCGCTCCGCTAGTTCGAATTAACTTTGTAGTGTAACATACCCTGAAAGACGCAAGCGGCTGGGTTGGCTAGAACAGACGGGTACAGGGCGTCGGCATTTCTAGCCCCCAGGGAAGAGGTGCTGGGTGCTATTTGCATGTCTACGCAACCACACTTCAGTCACTGCCTTGGGCATGTGCTGTGAGTATCATTCTGGCTCCTGGGGCTTCCAAAGTTGAGTAGCCCTCGTCTAGAGCGACTGACCGAAGTCACCACTGCCCGGCGCTGAGAGGTGTAGCTCGCCTGCGGCTGCAGAGTTAGGCCTCCGGCTGGCCTTGCTACAGTTTCACAGCGGCGTGGCTGCACTTCCTCGGGCGGAGTCACTGCCTTGGGCATGTGCTGTGAGTATCATTCTGGCTCCT